TGACAATTTTCTACTCGCATCCGTCCTCCTATTTATCTTTACACTGCATTCTGGGATAGAAAGGTTGCCAGGTTATTGTGAAAGGAGTGCATAGTGTATATCCGTGGATATCTAACCTACACTTGCACCTCTTCGCACGAGGGTTTTGGAAGAAGTGGAGGCAGGATCTCGCAGATAGAGTAGCAGTGGCATGCCTTTTTCGCCCGCACGAGAACTGGGCTGAAGGGTAACGGTGCCTGGATACCGTCCACATACTCTGCCAGCGCTGTCGCTCGGCCAGCTACACGCTTGACCTTATCCAGTCGCGCCACTTCTCTGTGCCCTCTCACTTCTGGTTAAACTCTTCCGCTGAGTACGTGTTTCACTGCGGGACCTCGGTACTGACGCTAGGACCGCACATTGAGCAAAGAGTGGGTGGATTATGGAGACGGCACTCGGCTACCATTACCCTCCAGCCCCGTTCCCGTGCATCTTAGATGAGAGAAAGTGGTAGCTGCTGCGTCTTCGTACCTATTCGCCCGCTCATGACAACGACCGTTCCTGGAGGTCATAGCACTGTTTATTTTCAAAAAAGGCGTAAGAAAGACGAGTTTTCTTGCTGTAGATAGTCCAGTACAAAATATTATTACATTGACACATAGACAAAATAATAATAATCAAGTACAATTGAAAATCGGCAATGAATGGGCAAAAATCTGCGTAAATTACATGACTAGGACGTATTCACGATAGAGTTCACATGTCCTTCCGTCATTTCATTTCATGCTAGGCAGTTTGTGATCATTAGGCTTGATATTCAGCATCAATCAGTTTGGCGATCGTATTCAGCTGAATGTTTGACGTACCTTCATAGATTGTACCTGTAAGGCATAGTCTATTAAGGAGCATTCGGAACTTCTCGTCTGAAGAGATCAACACTGTCTAGAGCTATGGAACTTTTTGAGACGGGACTGACCAGCTTTTGCGTCTCTGAAGAATTTTTCAACGGGGTAATCCTTTGTGAAGCCTAGTCCACCGTACCATTCCACGCACTTTGAACTGGTTGAACACGCTACCTGAACACATAACCATGGAATAGAAAATGGACAAAGCGATAATTTGCGTCAATGAATGCGCCATGCGTTCGACTTCTGGTCAGAATCGAAATCTGTCTGGATAACCACTCGATCTATGCAGTACCTGGCCGGGAGTAGCCATCAATCGAACATCGCTATTTGTTTCAGATCTGGGTTGCATTCTGAAACAGGGATTGCCCAGTGGCCTGATAGAGAACCAACCATCCGGAAGCCATGGAAGTGATTCTGCGGACTACTTGAACTTGGTCCTTCAAAGTCAGAGCACGTCATACATTGGGAATTCCCCAGCAGGGTCTGGTCGGAGGAGGAAGGGAGTTGTACTTGGCCTGAGGAAATTTTTTGATAGTTCATTTCACCGTGCGCTCTTCCTGCATTGTATGAAAGTCATCAACTGCCGGGGGGGGGGTGGTCATGGCTCTCGTTGGGGAGAGTGGAAGGGATGGGGGGCGCCCATCTAGACTCAGAAAATTTTCCCAAGTCGCGAGAAATATTTTACCATTTTGATCTTGGTTTAATTTTGTTGGAGACACTGCATAAACTGAAGCCGCATACAACAACTATTCCCCATTATTGAAATAAGTAGGATGGATTGGTGACGACTATCCTTCCCCCTCGCCCGCTAAGAGCGCGTTCAGACTTCGCCAGATCAAGCGCGAGTGCCGATAGCGCTAACTTGGTGGGATGGGTGAAATTCACCACCGGGGGGGGGGGGTCATGTTTGTTCATGCTTATTGTTCCTGTTCTCTTTTGAAATAAACACAATAAACATGAACAAACATGACCCCCCTCCCCCGGTGTGAATTTCACCCATCCAGTAAGCGGCGATCGGATCGCACCCGAAATGCCGAGTCTGAACGCGCTCTAAAAGGTTGTTTTTGGGAAAAACATGAAAAAGTTTTGGAAAACTGGGGAAGTGGTAGAAAGTAAGGAAACCTAGAAACGAAGAACTTGGTCGTACTACAGGAGGACCTTTCAGGCAGCGGCTACGGTGCTGCACATATATACCATTTTCACTTTAAATCGGACACTTTTCAAACCAAATCGGACACTTTTCAAACCAAATCGGACACTTTTCAAATCAAATCGGACACACCCTTACAATTAGGTGGTTGATAACTAGACCACACTAGGTGCTGTTGCAAACCCGCGCCCAATATCCCGCCTACTTCTCAGCGCGAACAAGGGTTTATCCGAGAGATGCTTTATGAAATCGCTCGCCCCAGACTTCTTTCGTTTTTGCCCTTTGCAACAACAACACTTCATGAAAAAGATTGCTACTATAGCAGGTCTAGACCCCCCCAGCCCACGTAACTAAATGAAGTTCTGAATTTATATAACTTTTTTTCGACGTAGTTCTTTTCACATCCAGTCTTCACAAAACGAATAACCATGCACAGCACACCAGGCCCCGCCCCTCTGACCCCGCCCACTTGTGTTTATCGCGGGAATTTTGGTTTTTCTTCCGGATTTTCGCTTTTTTTAGGCTTTAGCGATTGGTCGCCACGCCAATGGAAGCTCGCGCCAAGTTTTTGGGAAGTCCCGCCCCACGTTTTCGAAAATGATGAAATCGCGGGCATAGTGTCGCGTACTGGCCGAATTACGGCTCTCCGCCGCCTCAGAAATAAAGTTTCCTTTTTTATCCGGTTTTTTTTTTATTCTAATGTGGCCGGGAGAGGCGTAATCGGCCAGAAGCGGAGCACTAGCTCGCCGACTGAGCATCATTTTCGAAAGTGGGCGTCCGCGGGGCTTCCCCAAAGTGGGCGGAGCTTCCATTGGTGGGCGGAGCCAATCGCTAAAGCCTAAAAAAGCGAAAATCCGGAAGAAAAACCAAAATTCCGCGATAAACACAAGTGGGCGGGGTCAGAGGGGCGGGGCCTGGTGTGCTGTGCATGGTTATTCGTTTTGTGAAGATTGGATGTGAAAAGAACTACGTCGAAAAAAGTTATAAAATTCAGATTCATTGTTAAGTGGGCGGAGTCAGATCTGTATAGGTATCAATCTTTTTCAGTTGAAGTGTGTGTGCAAAGGGCAAAAACGAAAAAAGTCGAGGGAGCAGATTTCATGAAGCATCTCGGAAAACCCTGTCCGCGCTGGGCGGGATAATGGGCGGGGCTTGCAACAGTACCTAGTGTGGTCTAGTTATCAACCACCTAATTGTAAGGGGTGTGTCCGATTTGATTTGAAAAGTGTCCGATTTGGTTTGAAAAGTGTCCGATTTAAAGTGAAAATGGTATATATGAACATATGCATGCAGCTCTGCCTACTCAAGCGGTTGTTTTCACGTCGTCAACAGCAAACTCGTCCGAAACTGCTTCCTGTGCGTCGTACACTCGTCCAACAGTTCAGAACAAAAGCTTTTCCGCAGGTTTTTGACCGCTTAACTTCGCTTTTTTATTACTTTTCATGCCGTGTTGCCACCCTTCCACCACATTAGCGCGACTGCCGAATTATCGTGCCCTACCCCTTCAAACCTATCAAATGAAGTACCTGAGATGAGTAAAGCTTCGCCATAGCGGCTTCTTTGACGAATGGTATGTTCCTCATCTGGAAAGCTATTCAGTTTTTATAAATTCATGGGGTTATGTACAGTATTTTTCCAGTCACCTTCATCCTTGCAGCGTTGTAAACCAATAACCGTGCCGCTTCGATCTCTACCGCAGTCTGAGCAATTTGGTGTTGCATACCCTCAAAACGCATGTGTAAGTTAAGAGGCATAGAGACACGATAGCTAAACACTTGTTGTGGAGGTCCCACCTGGAAGTCAATGAGCCGGGATCCAAACTGTTTTCGTTCTTGAAGATAAGGTATAGTGGCATCGAAACATCCTTGCGCAAGTCCAATCATTTGAGCACCAATACCAATTCGACCAGCGTTCAAACATTCAATGGCATATTTATAACCTGAAAGCGAGTAACGCTTGTGGTCCAAATATATGTTAAGGCGAAAATGGTTCTTCATTCTCCATTCCATTCCATCTCCGGAGGCATAATCAGCATGATTTTTTATGGGCGATGTGCAAAAAAAGCT